TTGTTCGAAACGTACCCAAAAAAATTTTCTGGTCGAAATTCGGAAAAAAAAATTGTTCGAAATTTGTTCGATTGACACCTCTAGGCATAATCCAAAGTGTGAATAAATGGGGCAACATTGTTGACAGCGCCACGTCAAAGCGGTTGCCCGATCAACTACAGTCAGTCGTAATGCGAAGTGGCACAAGCATGTCCCATTTTCTGCATTCAATCTTCGCATTCATACGCATGTACAGCTGTCACTTTATTAACCTATTTTTTTATTAACATATTAATAATTATTAGTAGGGGGGTAATTCGCGCCACTTTTTTTCCTAATTTTATATTTCCATGAAAATTGAAAAAAAATCAGGAATGTTTGGTATCATTTTATAGCTTGTCCATTTACCTAACTTTTATAGAAGAAATGTTTTTGGTTTGATCCCCTTTGGGGTCCGATATAGCCCTTGGGCGAAATCCAAAATGGCCGGGCTATTCGCCCCACCACACGGGGCTTAGTGTTGGCTTCGAACGTTCGTTCGACCGTTCGACAATATAAAAAAAAATTGTTTTGTTCGTTCGTTCGTTCGAAAGTTTTGTAAAAAATTATTTTGATCGTTCGTTCGTTCGAAAAGTTGAAAATTAATTTTTTTGCTCGTTCGTTCGTTCGAAAATTATGAAAAAAAAATTTGTTCGTTCGTTCGTTCGGAAATTGCTATTTTCGACCGTTGGGATTTTTATATTTGAAATACATAGGAAGCAAATACAATTTTGATTTCTTTGGGTAAGACTGAAGGTACAACGTAATTACCGGTGTTATTATTGAGTAATACCACTGGTAATAATTATTATCGATCTTATTACCGATTAATAACTAAGATGATAGTTATTACCGATTATTACCGTTAATTACTTAATTAAACTTTGTACTTAAGCTTAAGTATGTACTTAACGTACTTAACGTACTTGACGTACATACTTAAGCTTAAGTACAAAGTTTAATTAAGTAATTAACGGTAATAATCGGTAATAAATATCATCTTAGTAATTACTTATTAATCGGTAATAATTATTACCAGTGGCATTACTCAATAATAACACCGGTAATTACGTTGTACCTTCAGTCTTACCCAAAGAATTCAAAATTGTATTTACTTCCTATGTATTTCAAATGTAAAAATCCCAACGGTCGAACATAGCAATTTCCGAACGAACGAACGAACGAACAAAATAATTTTTTACAAAACTTTCGAAAGAATGAACAAAACCATTTTTTTAAATGCTTTCGAAGGGTCGAAAAAGTGTTCGAAAGTGTTCGACGGCCAACACTAACGCCTATTCACGCCGTCCGCATTTTATAAGTTTATCTTTGAGAAATTGTTTATTTTATGATTTAATTATTTTCAGACATTCGAATATAAACAATTTCAACCATTGGTTGGTTGATTTGAACATTTCATGACTCTCAAAAAATAAAAGAAAATTAGTACCTAAAAGTGATAAAACGTACCCATTAAATGGTAACAATTTTGAACGTATATCAGTCAAAATTGGGTATTTTTGAGGTCTGAAACTTTCTGTCGATAGGAATAGTGCGGCACTATTAGTGCGCGAATTACCCCCTAGTCCCCTATGGTAAATTTTCGGTTATTAATATGGTGTAGATTTTATTAAAATGTTAATAACGATATTTTATTAGAATTTTAATAAAATCGACAATTTTTTTTATTAGAATTTTAATAAAATGTGCTTATTAATATGGTGCCGATTTTATTAGAATTCTAATAAATTCGACAACATATTGGATTTTATCCGATTTTATCAACGGACGACATCATGTTCACATCAAAGTCAATTCATAAACGCTGTGTTGAATTGATTAAGATATTCATTTATCACGACAAAATCTCAAAGAAAAACGAGTCTGGAAATATTCGACATGTTTTTTGTATGAAACTTTTCTTCGCAATTTTTTTGAAAAGTTTTTTTCTTTATTATTATTGTTCTGCACCATACAGCGTTTCTTCGCCAGAGGTGGTTTATTTAGCATAAATAAATCATCTTTTTATATCTACAATATGGGATAATTCATTCTAATTGACTTCATTCTCTCCAAATTCTGTTTCTCTTAAAATATTCAGCTACTCTATGTTTGATAGTATTTGTACTTGTGTTAAAATCAATTAAATAAGTATCACAATTCGAAATAGTAGTAATATTACATTCATCTGGTAAATTAGGCGGTTTGATAGGAACAAAGTATTTATAAAATTCATTGTACGTACTCAACATATAAATGATAGGTTCAGATTTGGAATAGCTATTGTGATTAATCGATAATGATAGGAAATTTGAGTTTCTTGTCCAATGTCGCGGTGTTTTAAAACTTATTTTGCTCAAAATGTATTTCGATGAAGTATTTCCACATATCACATTGTGGACAAGTGATATTTGTGCTATCTTTCTCCGCTCTTCCAGCGTAATCATTTGTAATTCAAGCAGTCGGCATTCGTACGGTGGTTTCCTGAATCTGTGTGCCCATTTCATTTTGCGTAGTGCAAACAATAAAAACTACTTCTGGGTAGATCAAACTGTGCTTTTGACCGGCGAAAGATAGCGGTGGCGCCTATTCGCAATTTGCGGAATTTTTAAGAACTATCAATACTTGTTGTTGTTGTCATGAATTTCGCAACAACAAGAAGTATTGATAGTTCATTAAGTTGCCGCAGATCCTATTTAGGCGCTACCACTATTCACTGTCACGTCAAATACATTGGTTCTTATGGGAGAGAAGCACAGGTTGGGATAGATTCAACTCTTGCAATTTTTTCAGCGGTGTATGGATTCCAAATTTGGGAAGCATATTCCACAATCGACAATACAAATGTGAAAAACAATTTCTTTATGGTCCATGGATCATCAAATTCATATCCAAATCGTTTAATCCATGCTAAACCTGATTTCACTTTGGCTGTAATATACTCAATGTGTTCCGAATGGAACAAATAATGTTAAAATAACTAATTTTCTTTCTGCATTTGAATTTACCGCGCATTCGCTTTTGCTACTCTCGCTTGTCACTATTCTCGCGCCTTTTCTTTTCCCCTGCTGTAAATCGCGCGCATAGAGACTAGAGATTAGCGACTAGCGCAAAGCGAAAGCAAAATCGAAATCGAAATCAATCAGGAAGAGTAAGCATTAGCGTCAATTTTGTTATTATTTTTGTTAGTTTTTTACTTTCTTTTGTTTTTATTATTTAAATTACAGTGAATTCAATAAAACAACAGAGTTTTTCTTGTTATTTAAAAACAAAACGAACTTCTTTTCATTTGGTTTAGTGAATTCACTTCATGGTCCTTCGACTGTTGCGAAAACCGCAAAAAGAGCACAGCGTTTTATCGAACTATTCGGATCGGATAGCGAGACAGACACCATAGTGAAGCAAGTAGAGAAGCGTATAGCGGCAGAAATTGAAAAAGAACTGCGTGAGGCAAACACAAGCGACAGCGACAGCGAAAAAGCAAACGAAAATCACTGTGTGTCATTGCTACAATATCCATTGGAGTTATCGCCAATAAAATTCGGAAAAAGAAGTTACAGTCTACCCATCAACATCGAATCTTTTTTCGTTCCACCGCTGTTAACGCCAATCAAAGACACACCATTCAAATTGCGGTCAGTGAACCATCGCTACGATCTCGTCTTGCACAGCAAACAAACGAATGAAAAAACAAGCGAATGGTGCAATAACAACTCACCAAAACGCAAGCAACGAACAGCTGTGAGAGAGAGAGAGCAAAGTGAACACCGACCAAAGGTCATCGAAAATCATCCAGTGCCATCACAAGCCAACACACGCTCATCACCCAAACGTCGCACAAACCCATTCGCTCTCACTCACACTACAAACGAAAAACGCACGCACACAAACGAAGGGCAACGCACGCACACCAATCCATTCCGAAACAAGCGACGCACACACACCTCGGTAAAGGAACGGCTTGGTCTGACGTTCAGCCGCCACGCACACACTGACGCAAACCGTCGCACTAACACCACAGCAACCACACAACCACAAACAAAGAGCAACTACGTTGGTAGTAGTCTACAGGTTTCGTTTGACAACGACAAATTCAGCAAATCACCATCCAACGCTGAACAAAACGAAATCGATTGTGTTGACGGACTAGATTGCGTTGATAGCGAAACGAACGTGATCGAGTTGAAAAACAAAAACGTTCCGGCTGGTGTCCATTTAGCAATCGTTGTGGATAAAAACAAAAAATTCACCAAGAACGCATTGAAACGAATTACTCGAAATTTATTATCTGAAATATAATTTGTTTTGCATTTCTCTTTTTTGCACGCATATGCCACACATTACCAAATCTGTATTTGCACCTTACACATACATTGTACATACACATTCAGCATTTTGAATTGCATACTTTTAGGCAAAAAGAAAATGTAAACATTTTTATCGCATCACTGAGAACAAATCGCAATATTTCGCTTCGGAAATAGCATTTAACACATAGCATAACAAACAAAGAAAAATCGTGATATTTAAACAGCATCTAAAATTAAACTGAGTTCAATTTTGATGGCGCATTGAATGTGATTGATTACAATCGAAATTGAATCTTATTTAAAATAAAAACTGAAAACTCACACTGTGAGAATAAAAACAACGCATTTTCTTTTACATCGCAACCATTTCTTTTTACATCGCAACCATTTTAGCATCAAATTAACAGCATTTTCTCGCATTTTCGCAAACCTTTATGAGCAAAATCGCAATAAGATAGAAATTTAGCATAGCAAATCATCATTCACTTGCATTTTACAGCCATTTAAGCAACTCGCATCACTCCTTAGCATCAAAACCATCGCATCGCATGAAAATTCTTGAACAAATACCAACGCATGATATTGATTTAAATCACTCAACTGCATATCGCTTGAAAAACTGAATTTACTTTCACGAATTGGCAAAAGGTAACATTCTTTTAACAAGTGAAAATGGCTGAGCTAACAAAACCATATAAAAAATTATTGCAAAAACGCGACAATCTTGTACGTGCAATCTTAACTCATGAATCAAAAATAAAAGACGGTGTCACGCCGTTGGCAGCCGCTACAAGATTAATTCAACTGGATGGTTCATTCGAAAAATATAAAGAATTGTGGGAAAAACTGGAAGAGGAAAATGAATTTGACTTAAATCATTTCGAGGTAGACAATGAAATAGTAACAGAATCCTACATCAATACTGTTACAATGATAAAATCAATAATCAAAGATCACTCGCAAAATGAAATGATGTCATTAAACTCAACATTAGCTACCCAATGTAACAACAGCGCCCCCGAAATTAAATTGCCCACAATTTCTATTCCGAAATTCGATGGCAAGGAGTTAGAATGGACCACATTCTACGACACCTTCTCATCTTTAGTCGATCAAAACCCTAATATACCGAAAATAAGCAAAATGCACTACTTGCGCGATAGTCTAAAGGGTGAAGCGTTTCAAGCGATTTGCAAACTCCCAGCTTCCGATGCAAATTATGACATTGCATGGAAAGTGCTGTTAGAACAGTACCATAACACACGTGCAATTGTGAACGATTGCTTGAAGTCATTCGTGTTTCAAGAGCAAATTCAACATCGTAATGCTGGCAGTATGCGTAAATTGATCGACACAACGAAAACATCTTTACAATGCATTGAATCGCTCGACGTGAGCATTGAGGAGTGGGATCCTTTTATCGTGTACATCTTGCAAACGAAGTTAGACAAAGAAACAGCAATTGACTGGGAGAAGAAACTGGGAGGCTCAAAGGAAATTCCAACATATGTTACAATGCTTGACTTTCTGGAAACGCAACATCGAATATTGAAAACGCCGACAGGGTTGCCTGGTAGCTCGCAACCTATGACACAAAAAATACACTCCACAATAATGTCAAAGTTCGGCAACAAGAAAGATGTATGTGAAGTTTGCAAGGGCGAGCATTATGTTTTGTTTTGTGACACGTTTAACGCATGGAACGTCACCCAAAGAAAGCAATTTGTTATAGAAAAAGGTCTTTGCGACGTGTGCTTGAAAAAACATGAAATTGAACATTGTAAGTCCAAGTTTCGCTGCAAAAAATGCAATGGTCTCCACAGCACAAAGTTACATGAAGAAGTCGCAACAACAAGCCAACGCGTGAGTGCTGTCAATGATTTATCTATGCCCAATCAAAAATTATTAGCAACCGCCATTGTGAAAGTGCAAGATAAATCTGGAGTCTATCATTTATTCCGTGCGTTGATCGATCAAGGGTCACAGGGAATTGTTGTGTCCGAAAGAGCCGTTCAAATTCTACGTCTTCCACGCAAGAAGGCAAATGTCCCATTGCTCGGAATTGATGATAAACCACTCGGAAAAGCAACAAAATCAATCCGAATTCAAGTGCAATCTGCAGTAAACAGCGATTTCGTCATATCAATGGAAGCACTTGTAATGCGGTCAATCGTGTCAGCCGGCCCACAATTTGAAAAACACAATAAATGGAAACATTTGAACGGTTTGCAACTCGCAGATCCTGAGTATATGCAAGCAAATGCGGTTGACATTCTGTTTGGTGTGGACATTTACGGCATTATCGTTGAAAATGGTTTAAAGAAGGGCAAATTACACGAACCAGTAGCACAAAATTCGTCGTTCGGCTGGCTTGTATTCGGCGCTGCATGCAAAGCAAAAGAGTACAGCGTTCGCATCCATACAACTAGCTTGGCGAACACAAATGATAACGATGACAATGAAGATTTAAATATAGCATTGACACGTTTCTGGGAGAGTGAAGAAGTGAATTTGAAGCCAATCATGACCGAAGAACATGAGAAATGCGTAAAGTTGTGCAATGAAACGACGATTCGATTGCCAAGTGGCCAAGTGCAAGTGTCTCTCCCATTTAACATGGATCGCAATAATGAAAACTTTCTCGTTGACTCTCGTAAGATGGCATTACGACGTTTTTTTCACTTAGAAAAGAAATTTGAGAAAGATGCAACTTACTATGAACGATATAAAGCCGATATGTTGAATTATCTTGAGTGCAACCACATGAGCTTAAGCAAATCACCATCTAACGAGGGTTACTACGTGCCACATCATGCCGTAACTCGAGAAGAAAGCACCACAACGAAACAGCGCACTGTCTACGACGCATCAGCTAAAACTTCGAACGGGTTTTCTTTAAACGATCGTTGTTTGAACGGCCCCACCATACAGCCAGAACTATTCGATACGTTCATTCGTTGGCGCACAAATAAAATTGCTTTGGTTGCTGACGTGGAAAAAATGTATCGTCAAGTCTCGCTCGCCCCGGAAGATCGAAAATACCAAAAGATTCTTTGGAGATTTTCGAAAGAAGAGCCAATTCAAACCTATGAAATAAACTGCGTAATGTTTGGTGGCAAGTCTGCTCCGTTCTTGGCAATTAATGCAACTTTTTATCTCGCTGAGTGTGAAAAAGATAACTTTCCAAAGGCCGCAGAATGTATAAAAACATGTTTGTACGTCGATGATTGCATGAGCGGCAGCCATTCAGTCAAATCAGCAGTTGAACTGCAACGCGAGTTGAATGGTTTGTTTAAATCCGGCAACATGCGTCTTCGAAAATGGGCATCGAATAGCGAAGCGGCATTGGACGGCATTCCAAGTGAAGATCGAGCAATTAGCCAATCGTTAACCTTGAAAACCACCGACACAGTGAAAACTCTGGGCATGAAATGGACGCCTGCAACCGATTCATTGAGCTTCACAATCGACATGACTCGTTTATCATCTGAACCGCGAATTACCAAACGAAAGCTAGTTTCAGATGCGTCCAAACTTTATGATCCGTGCGGTTTGTTAGCTCCAATCACAATTAAAGCCAAAATGCTCATGCAAGCGACTTTCAAAGAAGGAATCGGTTGGGATGATTTTGTGTGCGATGCCATTCAAAATGAATGGAATGAATACAGAGTGGAACTGCCATTGATTAAACAATTGAAAATTAAGCGATGGCTCAGCATGACACCAAATTCAACAAAACAATTGCACGGATTCTGCGACGCTTCCGATAATGGACTTTCGGCTTGCGTTTATATAGTGCAAACATCGAATGAAATCACCACAGCATCACTCATATGCGCTAAAACTCGTGTTGCACCCATTGATCCAGTCGCAACACCTCGTTTAGAATTGTGTGGAGCTGTTCTATTGTCACATTTGGCCGCTCGCATTGAACATAATCTGAAGATTGACAAAAATAACGTGCATTTATGGACCGATTCGTCAGCTGTCTGGCATTGGTTGCAACATCATCCGTCACGCTTTCAGGTGTACATCGCTCATGGCGTGCTTGAAATTCAGAAGCTGTATCCAGCGAACCACTGGAAGCATGTTCGAACTCATGAAAACCCAGCAGATATCGCATCTCGGGGTGTTTCTGCACGTCACTTGCTCAACAATTCTCTTTGGTTTTCTGGACCAAAGTGGCTCTGCCTTGACAAAACTCAGTGGCCAAAAATCGATTTGCCATTGCCACAAGGCTTAAATTTAGAAAAAAAGCGCACGCGAATAAACATTGCTGTTCCACAATCAGCGCCATGCGAAATGGACTTCTTATTGCGATTTTCGAGTTTGCTTCGATTGCTTCGGGTTACGGCTCGCATATTTCGATTGGCTAAACACAGAAAGGGAGAGGCTGCCTCTTTGCCCGATTATGTAACGCCTGAGGAATTGGAGGAAGCAAAAATTGAATGGGTAAAATACATTCAAGCCCTATATTTTGCCAAAGAAATTCGCGATTTAAGAAAGAACGGATTCGTCGACGAAAAAAGTGCACTACGCTCGCTCAACCCGCAATTCAACGAAAACAAAATTCTCGTCGTCAATGGTCGATTACGGTATGCTCCGCTACCAGAACGACAAAGATGTCCGATGATTTTGCCAGCAAATAGCCATTTCACACAACTAGCAATAAATCGCGCCCATGCAACGTCGTTACACGGCACCATTCACCTGACTTTGGCTCGTGTTCGCCAAGAATTTTGGATCCTGAACGGTCGCAATCGTGTGAAAGCATTCGTCCACAAATGCGTTGTCTGCTTTCGACAAAAACCCAAGTCAATGACTCAATTGATGGCGCCATTACCTGCCATAAAAACAACTCCGTCTCGCGCATTTTTGCATTGTGGTCTGGATTTTGCGGGACCAATTCAAATAAAGAGCTCGAATAAACGAAATGCACCGACTGAGAAAGGTTATATTTGCGTGTTCGTGTGTATGGCCTCGAAAGCAGTCCATTTGGAACTCGTCGGTGACTTGAGTACCCAGAAGTTCATTTTGGCAATTCGTCGAATGATGGCGCGACGAGGAATGAGCACTGATTTTTATTGCGATCGAGGGACAAATTTTCAAGGTGCAAGCAACGAATTGCCTCGTCTTTTCTTGGATGCCAAAGCAACAACATCAACTGAAATCGCCCAATTATTCGCTTCCGATGGCATTCGATTCCATTTCAATCCCCCAAGCGCACCGAACTGGGGCGGACAATGGGAATCGTTCGTCAAGCTGACGAAACATCATTTGCGCCGAATGACCACCGCAGTTAAACTAACGTTCGAGGAAATGGCAACGCTTCTTGCTCAAATTGAATCATGCCTAAACTCGCGGCCTTTGTGTGCAATCACAACGGATATAAATGATTTGGAGCCACTCACGCCCGGTCATTTGTTGATTGGCGCTCCGCTTAATTTGATTCCAGAACCGAATTCACTATCACTAAAAGACAATACGCTCGACCGGTTCCAAGCCATACAAAAGGGCCTACAAACATTCTGGAAGCGCTTTTCAGAAGAATATTTGCACGCGCAACACCCCAGAAAGAAATGGCTCAAGCCAAATGAAGATGTCAACTGCGGCGACCTAGTAATCATCATCGAGGACAATCTACCGCCGGCAAAATGGATGATGGCCAGGATCATCGAACTTCACACTGGGACAGACGGCTACGTAAGGATGGCAACGGTAAAAACTCAAACTTCAACTTTTCAGCGCCCAATCGTCAAGCTTTGCAAACTTCCAATCAACGAAAAGATTAATTAAATTTATTGATAACATTGTAATTTAGATATTTGGCACCAATAAAGGAGATCTGTTTTCTCCACACTGTGCAGGGCCCCTTCAGTTTTAAGATTTAGTAGTTTTTTAGCTTTTTACTTAAGAATTTGCCTCCCCGGGAATATGTTCCGAATGGAACAAACAATGTTAAAATAACTCATTTTCTTTCTGCATTTGAATTTACCGCGCATTCGCTTTTGCTACTCTCGCTTGTCACTATTCTCGCGCCTTTTCTTTTCCCCTGCTGTAAACCGCGCATGCTCAAAACTTCTCCGCCGGCGCATTTCGCGCCAAATCTGCCTATAAAAGGCGAGCCGCGCCGACGAAGAGGATTCATTCCACTTGCAAAGAGAATAGAGAATAGAGACTAGCGACTAGCACAAGCGAAAGCAAAATCGAAATCGAAATCCAGCAGAAAGAGAATAGAGACTAGAGATTAGCGACTAGCGCAAAGCGAAAGCAAAATCGAAATCGAAATCAATCAGGAAGAGTAAGCATTAGCGTCAATTTTGTTATTATTTTTGTTAGTTTGTTACTTTCTTTTGTTTTTATTATTTAAATTACAGTGAATTCAATAAAACAACAGAGTTTTTCTTGTTATTTAAAAACAAAACGAACTTCTTTTCATTTGGTTTAGTGAATTCACTTCACAATGTGTGCATTAAAATTCAATTTATGTTCAAGTATTACCCCAAGATCACGTCAACTCGATCGATTTTTTCGTTGCCAATGGAATATTCGAAGTTAAATTTCAGGTGGCCACGATAAAAAGACACAAATTTGGTCTTAGATACATTTAGCTTTAGCTTGTTCCGGTTAAAGTATTCAATAAGCCTATTCAAGTCAGCTTGTAATTCCAAACAGTCATCATAATGTCTGATTTGTTTCCATAGGCGAGTGTAATCAGCAAACGACTGAAGTATTGAGTTTCTTATGCGTTTTGGTAAATCAATGATGAACAACAGAAACAATGTAGCACCAATCGGGTAACCCTGACCAGTTCCCGATGTAACTTCAATGGGGCTTGACATGTCATTATTCAATTTGACAATCTGTTGGCGACCATACAAATAAGATATGATCCACTTGAGTAATTGTTGATTCAGTCCCATAATATCCAATTTGCGTATTAGTAAATCAATATTGACCGAGTCAAAGGACTTCGCAACATCCAAGTAAATTGCATCAGTTTGTATTTGGTTTTTCATTCCTAAAATTGCACACGATGTAAATTCAGCCAAATTTGTAGTTGTAGATTTTCCCTTCACAAATCCATGTTGACTGTTATCAATAATATTCTCCATGTGATAATTAAGGTGTTTAGCAACGATGGAATCAAGCAACTTAAGTATTACACACTGCAGAGCTACGCCACGATAGTTTTCAACTTTAGCTTTAACACCGATTTTGTGAACTGGTTTTATAAATGATTTTCTCCAAATCTCAGGAACAACACCAGTCTCCAACGATTGCTTTAGCATGTGTGTGATGGGTTTTAATAGTGATGGCATACACTTTTTGATGAGAATATTTGGTAGGTCCTGACACCATGTTGCTTGGAAGGTTATTTATCGTATCCGTAACCAACTCCTCAGTGATGTTGATAGTTGGAAAATTAGCACACAGATTCTTAAGTAATGGTTCATCTTCAGAATAATTCTCATTTTTGCTGTAATCCGGTTCAGTGTACGCTTTGGCAAAATGCGTTGCAAAAAATTGCGCTATCTCACCTCTGTTACTACTTTTCTTATCTCCAAGAACCATTTCATTCGGAAGATCATCGTTCGTCTTTTTGGAACCATTCACGAATTCGAAAAACTTCTGTGGATCTTCGTTGATAAGGTTTTCCATTTCAAGTTTGTAGTTTCTATATGCCAAACGTGCGCTCTTTTTGTATTCTCTTCTCAATGTGGAGTGTTCTCTTTTGGCGTAGTTTTTTTCTTCAATAGTACGTCTTGATGCTATGTATTTGTACTGATTATTGACTCTATTCTTCAAATTGATAAGGTCATTATTAAACCATTTTGGGTGACTTGATAGCTTCTTCGTTTTCATCGCAACATTCGATGAAATTACTGAATCAATCAGTGCGTAGAACTTAGTGACATGTGAGTCTAAATCATCATCGGAAAACATTTCAATCCAATCAACGTCATTCAGCGACTCATTTATGGTATCGTAATTGGCATTCACAAAATCTCGGTAACTATAACTCGAAGTTGGATTTAATTGGTCACATTCCAAATTACTAATATTTATCTCATACGATATGTGATGTGACTCCTGGTTCAGCAGGTGATAATCATTTTTTGTACAGTTGACGAAATCAGTGCTGTTTGTCCAAACTACTTTTGTTTCATACAAAAAAAATGTCGAATATCTCCAGACTCATTTTACATCGAGATTTTGTCGTCTGGCAAAAACTGACATGAATTTTATATGAAACTTTTCAAGAAAATTGTGAAGAAAAGTTTCATACAAAAAACATGTCGAATATTTCCAGACTCGTTTTTCTTTGAGATTTTGTCGTGATAAATGAATGTCTTAATCTAAACGCTGTGTTGAATAGACTTTGATGTGAACATGATGTCGTCCGTTGATAAAATCGGATAAAATCCAATATGTTGTCGAATTTATTAGAATTCTAATAAAACCGGCACCATATTAATAAGCACATTTTATTAAAATTCTAATAAAAAAAATTGTCGATATATTAAAATTCTAATAAAATATCGTTAATAATATGTTATCGATTTAATTAGGATTCTAATAAAATCGACAACATATTAATAACCACATTTTATTATCATTTTAATAAAATCTACACCATATTAATAACTGAAAATTCACCATACTAATAATAATTATTAATATGTTAATAAATTGCACTATATTTATTAACGTTAATAAATATGGTGTTTCAAAAGTTTTATTGATTATTAAAATATGTTGTTTATTAACATATTAATAGAATACCGATTTTTGATAGCTGTATACGCGTGTGTATGCGGAAAATGGTTCAAGCTTATGCCACTTTGCGTTGCGATTGACGTATGCTTCTGATTGAAAAATAAACAAATTGAAGTTAACTAAAACCAAATGAAAAGTAGATTAAAAAAAAATTAGAAAACATATTTCTTGAAAGAGTACCTTTTCTACTTATATTTAGCAAAATTTAAAAAAAATATCATAGAGTTCGTTTCGCTGCAATAAGACTTTGAAATGGATTGTTCACAATTATTTTCTACTTTCATTCTGACCAAACAACAAAGTTGTTGCAGCAAAACAAAGACTATGATTTCTCTAAAACTTGGTTGAATATAAGTAGAAAGTATGCTTTATTAATTCTCATGCAAAACACATTCAAAGCAAAACTTGATTGGGATGATAATGTTACCGCTGATATTTAAGCCGAATGGAATAGCTACTAAGGAGAATTGCCATTGATTAAGCAGATGACAACTTTCATCGTTGGTTTCAAATCGAACAAGATTCTCTTGTTGAAATCCATGGATTTTGTGACGCTTCAAATGATGTATTCGCGGCAAATATTTATATTGTGAAAACGTCCAACGAAAAAACAACTTCATCACTTGTATGCGCGAAGACAAGAGTCGCCCCAATCGAACCAGTCTGCACGCCACGTTTAGAATTATGTGGTGCGGTCTTGTTGGCAAATTTAGCCTCGCGAATCCAAGAAAATTTGCAAATTCACAAAGAAAATGTTCATTAATGGACAGATTCTTCCGCTGTTTGGCATTGGATTCAAAACCATCCTTCTCGGTTTCAAGTGTATGTCGCGCATCGCATTCACGCAATACAACAACTTTTTCCTGCGAAACATTGGAGACATGTGCGCACACAAGAAAATCCGGCTGATATTGCGTCGCGCGGCGTTTCTGCCCGCCAACTATTGAACAATTCACTATGGTTTTCTGGTCCAAACTGGCTTACTCTTGATAGAACGCATTGGCCAAAAATTGATTTGCCACTTCCGCAAGGAGTGAATTTAGAAGAGAAACGCACACGAATAAATGCCACCATTACGCAATCTACTCCATGTGAAATGCCATTTTTGTTGAGATTTTCAAGCTTTATGCGCTTGCTTCGCATCAATGCTCGCTTATTTCGATGTGCCAAACGGCACAAAAAGGAAGATCTTGCATCTTTGCCCGATTATTTCACACCTGAGGAGTTGGATGAAGCGAAGATTGAATGGGTGAAATACATTCAATCGATACATTTTGCCAAAAAAATTCGTAACTTGCGCAAGAATGGAATCATCGACGAAAAAAGTGCGCTGCGTACGCTCAACCCACAGCTCAACGAGAATGGAATTTTGGTGGCCAACGGCCGATTACGGTATGCATCACTATAGTGGTTCTGGTATACCAGAAAGACAACGACACCCTATGATACTTCCAGCAAACAGCCATTTCACACAATTAGTCAAGCACCGGTTCGGACATAGAAATATGTTTACCTAGATGTTTTAAACTGTATAAATATGCAAAGCATAGACGCGTACGGACGACCGTGCGACGAACGTATCAACAGTGCCATCGTTGTTTGCTGTGTACTGTATTCATACACACACTTATGCATGCGCCTCGCAAAGCACGATCACTCGTTGATACGTTCGTCGCACGGTCGTACGCACGCGTCTATGCTTTGCATATTTATCTTGCATATTTCTATGTCCGAACCGGTGCTTGCAATCAGTCGTGAATCAAGCACATGCAACAGCTTTACACGGCAGTGTCTCAGAGTTAAGTATAGAGACGGTTGAGACAGTTGCCTCAAGGCACCACGTATTTGGGGGCACCACAAAGAGAGGAAATTTAACAAAATGTTAGGAAAGGTCCACAAATATGAATTTTTGATGCCCCAAG